TTCGCCATCACTGGCCTAGACCCAGAGTGCAGGGGAGCCCGCTGGTGCCCGCCGTCCGTCCGCTGGGACCAGGGACCAGCGAGTGGGTGGGGTGGAGAGGCGACAGGCCGTGACCTTTGCACCCCGTGCACGGAAGGACCCCCGAAGTAAGTGCGCGTGCCTCCGGGTCATCCGGCCGTGTTTGCCAAGCTCTTATTCTTTGCAAGGAAACCACCTCAGGGCAGAGGGGGTGTGGGGGGGAGGTTGGGGGGAGGAGGGAGGGGTGCACAGGAGCAGCTGGAGGGGAGCTGGTGGCAAGCCCAGCACGGACCACGGTCCAATCTGAATCCTCTCTCGGGCTCCAACCCGGAGCTGTAGCCCTTGAGACTCGACCTTTGCTCAAAGAAGTTAGAGATGCGGGCCCGGCCGGCGTGGCTCAGTGGTTGAGCATCGACCTGTGAACCAGGAGGTCACGGTTCGATTCCCGGTCAGGGCACAGGCCCGGGTTGTAGGCTCCATCCCCAGTGCGGGGCGTGCAGGAGGCAGCTGATCCATGATTCCCTCTCATCATGGATGTTTCTCTCTCTCCCTCTCCCTTCCTCTCTGACATCAATAAAAATATACTAAAAAAAAGTTGTTGGAGATTCGCACGGGGCAGGGACACCACGCCCCACAGACCTGAGGGTTTAGCACCGGAGACTGGTCAGAAAGAGAGAGGATGGACGAGGGATGGGGACGCCTCAGGGAATTTCGCCGGAGAAGCTGTCATCAAACTCAAGATCTCTGTCTGGTACCTCGGCCAACGGAGGAATGACAGGGACATCCCTATCGATCGGGCCAGGCGTTTTCCAATAAAAACAATCCTTCCAATAGCGGAGAAGTGGAAACAGCCCAAGTGCCCGTCAGCAGACGAGTGGATCAAAAGCCGTGGTCCATCTACACGGTGGAATACTACGCAGCCATGAAAAAGGAGGCTCTCTCACCCGTGGAGACGGCATGGAGGGACCTGGAGAGTATTGTGCTAAGTGAGATAAGCCAGTCAGAGAAAGACACATGTCCCATGGTCTCATTCCTGTGTGGAATCTAAGGAACAAAATAAACTGATGAACAAAATAGATCCAGAGACAGGGAAGCATGGAACAGAGGGCGGAACCTCAGAGGGAAGGCGGGGGTGGGAGGTGATCGACCAAAGACCTTGTGTGCATGTATGCACGGGCCATGGACGCAGACAATAGAGGGGTGAAGGCCTGGGGTGGGGGATGGGGATGGGCTGGAGGGGTCTATGGGGGGACAGGGGAACTTCCGTAATACGTTCAATAATGAAGACTTAAATAAATAAATGAACGAAATGATACAAAGCCTAGTACGACGGGAACAACATCAGAATGAAAAAACAACAACGCCACCTTGCAGTGCACCCTGGAGGCCTCCCACAGATCACCCAGCCAGCAGGCGCCCCCGTATTCATTCCGCAGCTCACAGACAAGGGAGTGGTTGAAACAGCTTCGGACAGGTGAATGGTGTGTGTGTGTGTGTGTGTGTGTATACACACACACACACACACACACACACACACACACTAGAGGCCCAGTGCACGAATTTCATGCACGGGGGGGGGGGGCCCTCAGCCCGGATTGCGAGAGGGCGCAGGCCAGGCCGAGGGACCCCACTGGTGCACGATCAGGGCCAGGGAGGGACGCGGGAGGTTGGCCAGCTGGGGAGGGACCGCGGGAGGGCTCCAGGGCGTGTCCAGCCCGCCTCGCTCAGTCCCAATCGGCTGAACCCCAGCAGCAAGCTAACCTTCCCGTCAGAGTGTGTGCCCCCTGGTGGTCGGGGCACGTCATAGCAACTGGTCAACTGTCTGCCCCCTGGTGGTCAGGGCACGTCATAGCGACTCTTCGACCAGACAACTGTCTGCTCCCTGGTGGTCAGGGCACGTCATAGCAACAAGTCGACTGTCTGCCCTCTGATGGTCAGGGCACGTCACAGCGACCAGTCGACTGCCCTCTGGTGGTCAGGGCACGTCATAGCGACTCTTCGACCAGACGACTGTCTGCCCCCTGGTGGTCAGGGAACATCATAGCCAGCGGCTGAGCGGCCTTAGCCTATCATTAGCATATTACGCTTTGATTGGTTGAACAGTCGACAGGTCGACCAGACACTTAGCATATTGGGCTTTTATTATAGAGGATGTGCACAGTAGGTCCTCAGGTTACCGCGGAGATCCGTTCCTACGGTGACGTAACCGATTTTCGCGGTCAGTGGGACCCCACCTACATAAGCACCTGCGTCACTCACACAGCACACGTACACAGCAGTAGTGAAGGGAAACAGTAAAAAAAATGTAAAAGAAAGATAACACTTCCTGACCTTTCCTTGCGGTAAATAAATAACAGAAAACGTAAAGCACATACGTATGCCCATACGCCGAAATGACGGAACTTTTTTATTTAATAAATAAATGGGAGATGGCGACGTAACCACGAAACGACGCGTCGAGTCCGACGTCACCCGAGGACTGCCTGTGCGTGACGTAACCTGCCTCCGGGACTTCACCCGTTTCCAAGATAAACCTATCGGGCCAGCGGTTCTCAACCTGTGGGTCGCGACCCCCTTGGGGGTCGAACGCCCCTTTCACAGGGGTCGCCTCAGACCGTCGGAAGACGCACATATCATTACAGACTGTTTCTGTGATTGATCACTGTGCTTTAATGACGTTCAGTTTGTAGCCATGAAATCGGGGTCCCCGCAGCATGAGGAGCCGCATGAAGGGCCGCGGCGCGAGGAAGGTTGGGAACCGCTGTACCGGACTAAACCCCCGGAGCTTGGTGCACTTTTCCTGATGTCACACGTCAACCCACCCACCTGCGGCTGGTGCCGAGGCAGCTGGACCGTTCACTCTGCGGGGTCGTCATAGCAACCCTGCCCAGCTGTTTTCTCAAACCCGGTCCTGGCCCCCCTCAGCGTTCCGGACAGGGAACCCCAGTTTGTTCTTGCAGGACGCACTACTGCCCGGCCGGCAGGGCTCCGTGCTCGAGGGACGACCCAGGAACCAGGCGGTCACGGGTTCGATTCCCCGACAGGGCACAGGCCCGGGTTGCGGGCTCCATCCCGGGTGGGGGGCGTGCAGGAGGCGGCCGGTCCGTGGTTCTCTCTCATCCTGGATGTTCCTCTCTCTCCCTCTCCCTGCCTCTCTGACATCAATACAAATACATTTTTTTAAAGGTTCTCATTTTGGTTTCAAGTTAGCTTCGTTCTTTCTTTTTAAATATATTTTATTGGTTTTTTACAGAGAGGAAGGGAGAGGGGCAGAGAGTTAGAAACATCCATCAGCTGCCTCCTGCACACCCTCCACTGGGGATGTGCCGGGAACCCAGGTACATGCCCTTGACCGGAATCGAACCCGGGACCCTTCAGTCCGCAGGCCGGCGCGCTATCCACTGAGCCACACCGGCCAGGGCTACAAATACATTTTTTAAAAAGAAAGAAAAAGACTCATTTCTGTCATGGAAGCATCTTTCTCAGGCTCCTCACCCCCGGCCTCAGTGGACACCTCACCCCTGCGCTCCCTCGGCCCCCCCTTCCCCATAACCCTCACCCCAAACCGAAGCGGGGCCACGGCTGAGCCCCCCACTGCCCAGGGTGCTGTCCTTTCTCTTTCACGCAGGGCCGCCAAGTCGCACCTCCCGCACCTGCCTCGTCTTCTGTCCCCAGACACCCGGACACCCGGACACGCGGACACCCGGACACGCGGACACCCAGACACGCGGACACGTGGACACGCGGACACCCGGACACGCGGACACCCAGACACGCGGACACGTGGACACGCGGACACCCGGACACGGCTGCACCTGAACCTCCCAGAACCGGGCCAAGGGGCTCCCTGTCCGGTGCCATGCGGAGGGGTCTGTCCTTCAACCTTCCCGCTGCTCACACATCACAGCCCCCGACGCCCGCCACCCCCCAGAATCTGTGGGACCCAGCCGCTCCCTCCTCTATCGGGGCACCCCAACCCCTCACGCCAGCTGGTCCACCTGCACCTCCCTGTCCCCCCTGCCTCCCCCACCCGCGCCCCCGTGACTCCCCACCCAACACCTCCCTGTCCCCCCAAACCGTGCCTCCCGGGCCCCCGACCTACCTGTCCCCCAACCCGCGCTCCCCATCCCTCCCCCCACGCCTCCCTGTCCCCCCACTTGCAGCCCCCTGCCTCCCTGTCCTTCCATCCACACCTCCCTGTACCCACGTCCCTGCCCCTCCCACCCGCGCCCCCCGTCCCCCCTCCCACCTGCAAGTGCCCCCAGCCCCCGGCTCTGCAGGTCGCACCCCCAAGTGCCTCCAAGTCCAGGCCTCAGTGAGTCTCCACAAACTCCCAACCGCTTCCCTGCAGGGACGCCCCCCACCCCCACCCCGCGCCCGGCCTCTGCGCCCCGCGTCCCCCCCCCCCTCCCGGGGCCTGGCCCCAGCCCCCCGCCAGCAGGGACCACGCACCACCCGCAACAGACAGCGGTGCCCGGAGGCGCTTCCCGGCGGTAACAGGTGACGGCGCCCGCGGCCCCCCAGCTCCCCATCCCCGGACTCGCGGGAAGGAGCAGGGGGCGCGGCCCTGGGGGGCCGAGGACAGAACCCCAGGCGGCCGAGGGGGGGACCCGGACCCCCGGACCCGCCAGGACGCTGCGCGCTGGGGCTGTGCGAGCGGAAGCGGGGGGGAGGAGGGGGGCGCGCAGCGGCGGGTGGTGAGGGCGCAGGAGGCCCGGCACCGAGAACCGGGGATCCGGGGCCGGGAACCGGGGATCGGGGGCCGGGAACCGGGAACCGGGGATCGGGGGCCGGGGACCGAGAACCGGGGACCGAAGACCCGGCCGAGCGGAGACTGGGGCCGCCCCGCAGGGTCCCGGCATCCAAACTTTCCCTCCCCCGCGCCGCCCGGGTCCCCACGCCGAGGACAGAGGCGGGGCCCGCGGGGATGGAGACGCGGTGCGGGGCCGAGGTTGCGCGCGGGACCGCCGCCCCCTACTCACCCGGAGGGTTGGCGGCCGCGGGGGTGGCCATGGCGCGGGGGCGCGGGGACGCGGGGGCGCGGGGGCCGGGCGGCGCCACACAAAGGCCGGCAGCTCCGCGCCCCGCGCCTCGCCGGGTCCCGCCTTTGTCGCGTGCGCCGCGCGGGGGGCGCGGGTCGGGCGGTAAAACCGCGAGACTTGGAGCCGCGGGCGGGCGCCCCGCGCTGGGGGCCGGGCTGCGGGAGGGGCAGGTGCTGCGCGCGGGGCCGGGACGCGCACGCGCCGCGCAGCCTCGCCACGCCCACGCCCGGGGTGCGGCGGGGGGGCGGGGGGGGCTGGGGGGGGGCCGCGTCCCGGGCGCTCGGGGCGCTGTCCGCACGCCCCCTGACCCCTCCCGTGCGGCCGGGGCGCAGCGTGGGAGCCCCCCTCCCCGCGTCCGGATGCACCCACTGCGCACCCAGCACCCAGGCCCCCTGCACGCGGGACCGCCCCGCACAGGCAGCGCCCGGGGGTGGCCTGCAGGGGAGCCCCCAGTTCTGGGTTCTCCTCGCCGGGGGGCCGGGCGGGCTATTTGGTGCCGTCGCCTTCCTGACGCCACCCCATGGAGATGGTTAAACCGAAGATGGAGCCCGGCCGGTGTGGGTAAATGGTTTGAGCATCGCCCTAGGAGCCAGGAGGGCAGGGCACCTGCCGGGGGTGCGGGCTCCATCCCCAGTGCGGGGCGTGCGGGAGGCAGCGGATCAGTGATTCTCTCTCTCATGGACGTTTTTCTCTCCCTCTCCCTTCCTCTCTGACACCAATAAAAATATATTTTAAAAATAAGATGAAAAATGTACAATGGGTTGATCTGCTTCACCCGCTGAGGTGGGGCTGCAGGGAGCTGGACGGGGTGCGCTCCTGCCAGGCTCCGGGGTCCCTGAGAGGCACCGTGGCTCTGGGGCAGGAAACCGCACCCCATGAGGGCTACCTGGGAGAATGAGCCGCCCCCAAGGAGGGACCCAGAGGGTGCCCCCTAACACGGGTGCGCTCACAAAAGCACCAGACGGTCCCAGATCCTCCCAAAGAAGAATTCAGGGGAGGGGGAGAGAGGCATAACATTTGGGGATTTTTGGGTTTTTTAAAGATATTTTTATTGATCTCAGAGAGGAAGGGAGAGGGAGAAACATCCATGATGAGAGAGAATCATGGACCGGCTGCCTCCTGCACGCCCCGCACTGGGGATCGAGCCCGCAACCCGGGCCTGTGCCCTGACCGGGAATCGAACCCTGACCTCCTGGTTCCTAGGTGGACGCTCACCACTGAGCCACGCCGGCCGGCGGGCCTGGATGGAGGCTTCTTAAGGGAACTGCAAGAGGAGGCTCCACGCCCTCCCTCCACTTCCAAGAAGGTAAAAACCCGCCTGGGGAGAGCTGGCTCCCCCCGCAGCTCCCTTTACCGCCCTGCACCCCTGAAGTTCTGTCTGGGGTTGGGGGGCGTCTACAACAGCCCCCGGCACCCCTGCCCCCCATCGCCCACCGCCACCGCCCCCCAGATCTGTCCGTGCTCCAGCTTGCACACCCCTCTAAGGTCAGCAAGTTCTTCTCCCTGCGTGCAAATCTCCGCACAAATGGCTTTGCAGTGTCCCCCCCGGAGCCCGCCTCGCTGTGCGGCTGCGGCAAGTCATCAACAGGCCTGAATGTTCACAGAGGAGGACGCCTCCTCCCGGCAGCCCCCCGTGACTGCACCTCAGAGGTCCAACGGCTTTTGACCTCCCCCAGCTCCGCCCGCAGAGGTCGCAGACAAGGGCACAGAGGCTCAGGGCCCAGAGGTGACCTCCCCAAGGTCAGGCAGCCCCATAGCTGGGCGGGACCTCAAACTGGGACTGGGCGGCTGGGTGGGGTGGGGTGGGGGTGCAGAGGGATGGAGAAGGGGGGGTTGGGCAGCCTCTCTCTCTCTCTCCTCTCGGTGTTACTTAGGTAAATACCCAGGAACCTCATTAGGGATGGGAGCCCCCCCTAAGTCAACAGTCTGGGTTCGCCATTGCTGCCTGCCGCGGGCGGGGACACAGCCCCCTGGGCCCCTGCTATTCGGGGAGCCGGCAGACTGTGACCACGTGCAGGCTGTGGAATGCCACTCAACAACCTACAGATCTTTTATATTCCAGGGAGGATGTTGAGTTTGGAGCTGAGATTTGCATTTTAAAAAAATTAGCCCAGACCTACTGGGCCCAGAACATGTGATTCTGGGCACGGGATGACGGGGGCTGCCAGCCAGCCACAGGGGGTGCGGGGACCGTCACCTCAAACCTGATCCATACCCTCCCGCCTTTTTTTATTGATGAGAGAGAGGGAGGGAGCAAAGGAGAGAGAGAGACGCCCTAGCTGGTGTGGCTCAGTGGATAGAGCGTCGGCCTGTGGACTGAAGGGTCCCGGGTTCGGTTCCTGGTCAGGGCACAGGCCCGGGTTGCAGGCTTGATCCCCAGCAGCAGGTGCGCGGGAGGCAGCCGGTCCGTGATTCTCTCTCATCGTGGATGTTTCTCTCTCTCTCCCTCTCCCTTCCTCTCTGGAATCAATAAAAATATTTTTTAAAAGATAAATAAAAACGTATTTTTTTAAAAAAAAAGAAAGGAAAGAGAGAGAGAGAGAGAGGGAAACAATGATTTCTTGTTCCACTTACTTATGCATTTTCACTGGTTGCTTCTTGTATGTGCCCTGACCGGGGACCAAACCCACAACCTTAGCCTATCCGGGACCACACAGCTCTAACCCAGGGAGCCAGGGCCTCAGAGCCCTTATGTGTTTATTTTGTTGTGGATGCGAATCCTCCCCCGAGGGTATTTTCCCATGGATGTTTTTAGAGAGCGTGGAAGGGAGGGGGAGAGACACAGAGAGAGAGAAACATCGATGGGAGAGATCGGGGCCGGGATCAAGCCTGCAACCCGGGCACGGGCCCTGGATCGGAATCGAACCCGGGACCTTTCTGTCCGAGGGCCGGCACTCTATCCACTGAGCAACACGGGCCAGGGCGCCTTGTATCCCTATGATAGGAGAGAGGAGACTTCCATTGTGTAATGTGCCATCACCCAGGAATTTTTATCTTCCCTTCACTCTGAGGGCCAGAGCCCAGGAATGGATGCGTGACGAAAATCGTGCACTGAGGTGGGGGGGTGTCCCTCAGCCCAGCCTGCACCCCCTCCCAGTCCGGGAGCCCTTGGGGGATGTCCGCGGGGAGCGGGCCTAAGCCGGCAGTCGGACATCCTTAGAACTGCCACGGAGGAGTGAGAGGCTCCCGCCACCGCCGCTGTGCTCCACAGCCGTGGGCCCGGCTTCTGGCTGAGCGGCGTTCCCCCTGTGGGAGCGCACTGGCCACCGGGGGCAGCACCTGTGTTTGAGTGTCTGCCCCCTGGTGGCCAGTGCACGTCATAGCAACCGGTTGATTTGCATATTAGCCTTTTATTATATAGGATTGATGTCAGAGAGGAAGGGAGAGGGAGAGAGAGATAGAAGCATCCACGATGAGAGAGAATCCTGGATCGGCTGCCTCCTGCACGCCCCCTACTGGGGATCGAGCCCACAACTCGGGCATGTGCCCTTGGCAGGGAATCGAACTGTGACCTCCTGGTTCACAGGTGGACAATGCTCAACCACGGAGCCACGCTGGCCGACCGTGGCCGTTTTTTTGATCCGGCCTACTTCGTGAAGAAATGCCGCAGGTGTGGACTCATTCAGATTTTTAATAGATAACCAGGTTCCTGTGTGTATTAACCCACTTACCAAACCGGCCTCACAAACCCGCAGTAACTTTTCCCCCAGGGTCATAAAAGTCTCCGGACGTATTAGCCGTTAATGCTAACCCTGTGCTCACGTGGCCTTTTCCCATGTTCTATACAAAGAAGGGATTGTTGCTTAAAAATGCCAAGTGAGCCCTAACCGGTTTGGCTCAGTTGGATAGAGCCTCGGCCTGTGGACTGAAGGGTCCCGGGTTCGATTCCGGTCAAGGGCATGTACCTTGGTTGCGGGCACATCCCCAGTAGGGGGTTTGCAGGAGGCAGCCTATCAATGTTTCTGTCTCATCGATGTTTCTAACTCTCTATCCCTCTCCCTTCTTCCCCGTAAAAAATCAATAAAATATATTAAAAAAATAAAAATAAAGATCATCATTCTCCCCTTTAAAAAAAGTTTTAAAAAAAGCCGAGTGAATGAATGGGGTTGGTGAATGACTCATCTCTCTCTCCACGGTGCATCAGACATTCCTCGGGCAAACGGATACAGGCGGCTAGACCAAGTTCATTACCCGGCCAACTGGCCTGGGACCGGTCGGTCATTAGCATACAAATGAGCACAAACAAGAGCCAGGTGCCCAGGCCGCCCCTCCCTGGAACAGCAGTCGTGTTTCTGACAAAGAACATTTATTTGGGCAACACGCAATCTAACTCGTGGGGGTGGGGGTGGGGTAGATTTGGGGCTTTTGAATATCAACCGCCTTTCAACACAGGCCTGAAATTTTAGAGGTGAACCCTAAATGCCATCAAGTACAGCCTGGCCGGCGTGGCTCAGTGGTTGAGTGTCGACCTGTGAACCAGGAGGTCACGAGTTCGATTCCCGGTCAGGGCATATGCCCGGGTTGCGGGCTCGATCCCCAGTGTGGGGCGTGCAGGAGGCAGCTGATCCAGGATTCTCTCTCATCATGGATGTTTCTATCTCTCTCTCTCCCTCTCCCTTCCTCTCTGAAACCAATAAAAAATATTTTAAAAACAAAACCAATATAAAATATGCAAATCGACCAAACGGTGGAACCACCGCTCGCTATGACGCGCACCGACCACCAGGGGGCAGGCTCACGGCTGGCGAGCGCAGCGGCAGTGGAGGGAGCCTCCCACCTCCACACATGGGGAACGAGCCTAAGCCAGTGGTCAGCAAACTCATTAGTCATCAGAGCCAAATATCAACAGCACAATGATTGAAATTTCTTTTGGGAGCCAAATTTTTTAAACTTAAACTATGTAAGTAGGTACATTGTTATTAACTTAATGAGGGTCCTCCTAAGGCTTAGGAAGAGCCACACTCAAGGGGCCAAAGAGCCGCACGTGGCTCACGAGCCACAGTTTGCCGACCACTGGCCTAAGCCATCCGTCGGACATCCCCCGAGGGCTCCCAGCCTGGGAGAGGGCGCAGGCCGGGCTGAGGGACATCCCCCCGCCCCCACCCCAGTGCA